TAATCAGTCCTTTCAAGTCCAGTGAAATAGCTGCTTATAGGAGCTTACAAAGGAGACTTTACAGAAGAGACTGCTTGACTGGAAATCATCAACTTGTTAGCCAACTCCAATAATCTATTCTTAACAGAAAAATCCAATGTCAACACTAAGAAAAAGAATTGGTATTCCATGTATTAGCCTGAAAAAAAAAAAAAAGGAATTGGTAAAAAGCAAAGTATTAATAAATCAAAAAGTAAGGTTTTCCGCAGTAACAAAGTAATTATTCATTCAACACTTGGTACCTACACCCTCAAACAGTATAAAATACAAAAGACAGATAGATTGCTTCTGCTTACAACAAACTTATAAAGTTGGTAATTATACATATTATGTAATTAAAATCTGTTAACAAAGCAATATGTAACAGAAAGCCTGTCCATACAGAAAAAACAACTACAGAGTATCATAATACTACGCAGGTGAGTGCTGACTTGATACAAATAACTTGTAATAGGAATTATAGGAGGTGGAGCTCAATGTAGGTTGTGCATTGTTTTCTAGATTCCTTTTACCTTGTGTTGGGATGTACAGAATAAACATGAATAAAAATTAGTTGTAATTACAGTAGTCCCCCCATTATCTGCAAGGGATAGGTCCCAAGACCTCTGGTAGATGCCTGAAACCCTAAATATACTTTGTTTTTTCCCTACACATACATAATTGTGATGTTTAATTTATAAATTAGGCATACTAAGATTAACGTTAGTTAATAACAGAACAATTATAACAATATAGTATAATAAAATGCATGTGAATGAGTAGATTTGTGTGGAACAGTTTAAATAACCATTATTCTAAACTATGCTGCCTTTATTCTGTATTCTGGGTAAATATAAACATTCAATTGCATCGAGCCTCATATATCTACCTAAATTTATAAGGTAGCCAATTTTTAGTTGTATGGCTATTAGTTTACATGCATTAGGTACTTTTTCAGACATTATCTCATTTCCCACTCCCCCAAATGCTAAGTAAGATGTTGGTAGTAAATTTTTCTATGCTACAAAGGAGAAAATATTTATTCATTTTTTTTTTTTTTTTGAGACAGAGTCTTGCTCTGTTGCCCAGGCTGGAGTCCAGTGATGGGATCTCTGCTCACTGCAACCTCCACCTCCCAGGCTCAAGTGATTCTCCTGCCTCAGCCTCCTGATTAGCTGGGATTATAGGTACCTCCAAAGTGCCTCTCTGATACGAAATTCAACCTTTCATCAGCAGGCCACTATTAACTATAGGCTATGGTCACCAGGAAAAGGCCTGACTCTGCCAAGGTGAGGGTGTCTGTGGCAGCACATGTGTACACATATGGTTTCCCACACTGCCCTGTCCAGCCTAGGGCCTTGTTATCACTGTCATTCTTGCTTCCCTTCTGGCAAGTGGGCATCTCTTGGGTAGTACAATCAGTACTCTGATAATCCTCATTTGGGGGAAGGATTTGGTGAGGGAAGACGAATGGGAAGAGGCAAGAGTAAGTCTGTAGGGGTGGCTTCCCTATTCAGCTCCAGATGTGGATTCAAGGAGGAGTGACCTTTTCTCCTCAGATCCTCAGCCAGGTTCCCATTTGAGGTACCCGAACTTTGGCCTGGACACATGGAAAAAAGGAATCACCCAATGACACCTCAGGGTACTTTGCTGTCTTGATTTAATCATTTCCTCATTGTGTCCATCCTAAGAACTGTCTGGTCAACATATTACCTCAAAAATTTGTGTACCAATAGTTTTGGAGAATGTACACAGGGGATCAATGGGTGCTTTGGGCTCTCCTGCCCTAACTACATTTCTTTTTTTTTGAGACGGAGTCTCGGTCTGTCGCCAGGCTGGAGTGCAGTGGCGTGATTTCGGCTCACTGCAACCACGAACTCCCAGATTCAAGGGATTCTTCTGCCTCAGCCTCCCGAATAGCTGGGACTACAGGCACGTGCCACTATGCCCAACTACAAAAATAGAAAATTTTTGTATTTTTAGTAGAGATGAAGTTTCATCATGTTCGCCAGTATGGTCTCCATCTCTTGACCTCGTGATCTGCCTTGTTGCCCAGGCTGGAGTACAATGGCATTATCTCATGATCTTGGCTCATTGCAACCTCTACCTTCCAGGTTCAAGTGATTCTCTTGCCTCAGCCACCAGAATAGCTGGGATTACAGGCATGCACCACCACGCTTGGCTAATTTTATATTTTTAGTAGAGATGGGGTTTCTCCATTGGTCAGGCTGGTCTCAAACTTCTGACCTCAGGTGATCCTCCTGCCTCAGCCTCCTAAAGTGCTGGGATTACAGGTGTGAGCCACTGCGCCCAGCCAACATTATAAAGGTTTTTATGATTTTAGCACTCTGGGAGTGAATGCGTCATATATTTCATGCTGGGACTTTTTATACATTTTTCCTTTAAACATTTGCAGAAAGTAGGGGAAGGTCATATCTAATAACACCAAAAACCAAATTATTCCACAGCTTTGATCAGGAGGCCAGTCCCAAGTATGTGCTCCAAGCATTTCCATTCTCTTTGACTAAAAAATATAAGTCCAAAGAACTCTGAATGCAATTATAGACGAAGACACTGCCTGTAAAAACCTAGTACATTTACTTCTGTTTGGGGCTTAGAATTCTGATTTGCATGGTTTGACAAGCTTATTGCATTGGATTCTGACCAAACCAATGCTACCATGAGACCAGGCATTCTAGTGCCCAGCTGTACCTCCTGCAAGAGAATTGCTTACTTTGTTATTAAGAAAATAGCAAACCTGCACCTGACTGCTTTTTTCTCATTCACCTCAGCTTAAGTCCTTACTACCTCACACTTATGCTTACTTTGTTATTAAGAAAATAGCAAACCTGCACCTGACTGCTTTTTTCTCATTCACCTTAGCTTAGGTCCTTACTACCTCACACATTGTTTCAACCACCTCCACCAAAAATTGCCCTTTCCTGCCTGTCCAAGGTCAAGTGGCTCCCAATTGCCTATGTGGCATCTAAGGTACAGTGCCTCAATCTATCCTCTCAAAGCCCAAAAGATAACACTTACTGGGCACTTATTCAATGAGAGGCACTGTGGAAGCATGCTCACAACATTCTCTGTGCAGCGGCTAATACTCCATTTACAAATGAGGCACAGGAAGCATGAGAAGCAAGCATGGCCAATGTCACAGGGCTAGAAAGTGTCTGGTACACAATGCCAGGTAGAGTTAGTTCTTAACCTCTGCATTATCATGGCTGAAGAATGCTGACATTTACTGAAAGTTTAAGGCTTTAACAAATAGTTCACTTAATCCTTACAACAGTGAGAAGACCAGTCAACAGCAATATTCTCATTTTATAATAAAAACCACAGGGAAATTAGTAACACGATGTGTAAAGAAATGACCTTGGGAGATTCTAACCTAGGGAGTCAGATGGACCCTGGACTTCCATGCTGACCCTAAAGGTACCAGAAAAAAAAAACAAACCCCAAATAATCCCTAAATGAAAAACGATGATAAAACACTAATAGACACTGTAGCCTACATACATGCAAAGGCTATTTTAAAAAAGTTAGCCACTGAAGGACCTTTATTCTCTCATATTACATTTCAGTTTTTTTGTTGTTTTCTTTTTTTGAGACGGAGTCTCACTCCGTCACCCAGGCTGGAGTGCAACCTCCGCCTCCCGGGTCGAAGCGATTCGCCTGCCTCAGCCTCCCACATAGCTGGGATTACAGGCGCGTGCCACCATGCCCTGTGTATTTTTAACAGAGACAGGGTTTCACCATGTTGGCCAGGCTGGTCTAGAACTCCTGATCTCAGGTGATCTGCCCGGCTTGGCCTCCCAAAGCGCTGGAATTACAGGCGTGAGCCACCGTTCCCGGCCCACGTTTCAGTTTTTAACCACCGTTTCTCAACTGGAAGACACATCCTTTCACCCAATTGCCGGTAAAATCCGATTCGAAATTCTAGTGAAAACAACAACAATACACAAAAAACGCTAACCATATGAACCCCCAATTTCAAAATGATCTATCGCCAAAAACTCTTCAGCCTCTGGGAAGTTTAGCTATTGGATTTATGCGTTCCTGTCTCTTCTTCCAAAAATAACTAACAACACGTAGCTCTTTCAAGTTATCCTACTTAATCTCATCTTGTCATTTCTGTAGGAAAGTGATTAATACCCCTTTTCAAAGACATTGCCTGTAAGACCCCAAGAGCTACACAAAAGACGGGAGCTGCAGCCTTGGAGACTTCGGGTGGGGGCAGAACGCGGCGCTGAGGTCGAGGGAGCCCCGAGGGCACAGCAGGTGGGAGGGCGGAGGGGCGGGCCGGGAGCTAGCTCGGCTTTCGAGCAATCTCCCGCCTCGCTGCGTTTCCATGCTTGCTAAAGGGTCGAGATGAAGAGGCAAGGGGAAGAGAGGGCGAGAAGGAAAAATATAAGAGAGAGGGGCGAGTGGGGCGGGGGTCCCGGGAACAGCGGCGGCCGCGTTACCTCAGAGCCCAGAGACCTGGGGGAGGGGCCCTCGGCGCTGCAGCGGACTCCGGGGCTCCAGGCTGGCAGGTGCTGCAGGGCCGCAGAGCGAGAATGCTGATGTCTCAGCAGGCACGGGGAGTTCTCCCGATGTCGTCTGCTGTTTCTCAGTCGCCTGTTGTGACACGGTAGCGGGCTGGGTCACGCTAACGCCGACCGCCAGGCGGGCTGAGGGAGGGATCGGGATCGCGGTGCCACCTCTCCAGGTCCGGTCCGGCCCACATCACTGGGGCCCGGGGTTTATTGTTCCGGAGAGCCACAGACAGGGTCGGCCCGGGCCTGCCGGGCAGTGTTCCGCTCCGCCCGCCTGAGCCTGGGGTCAAGCCAGCAGCAGCTGCAGACACGCCGACTGGCGGCGGATCGGGGGCCGGTGTGTGTCTCTTTAAGGGGCCGGGCCTGCGAAGCTAAGGGGCGGGTGGGGTGTGCGTCGCTCCCGGTGTGAGGGTGAGAGGGAGAGAGCGGCTGGCGGGCGTCCGAGGGAGGGAGGGAGGGAGCTACGAGCGAGCTAGCGACGCGGGCCGCCCTTGCCGCCGCCGCCACCGCGGTCGGACCTGCGGCCTCCTCCCCTCCCCTCCCCCGCGTCGCCCTGCCGCGGGGAGGGGGCTCGCGTCGCCGCCTCCAGCCGCTCCCGATGAAGCAGCTGCAACCGCAGCCGCCTCCGAAGATGGGGGATTTCTACGACCCGGAGCATCCGACCCCTGAGTAAGTATCAGCTCCGCGGCTCCCAGCTGCTGTCGGCCGCTTCTGCCCCAGCCAGGGGCGGCGCGTCCTGACGGGTGGCGGCGCGGGCCGGCGCGAGGAGTAACGGGCCCGCGGCGGCCTCGCGCGGTCGGTGTCGGGAGCAGGCCCGCGCCGCCACTTCGGGCCGCCTGGCAGGGGCCGCAGCAGGCCCGCGGTTGGGCCCGGCGTTGGCGCCGCTGCTCGCGTCGCCGCGGCGGTTGGGCCGGGCCTGTGGGGGAGGGGCGGCCACGGTCCTCAGGGCTGCCGCCGTGTCCGCACCGACGCGGCCAGCCGGGGGCTCGTAGGTCCTTGCGGGCTCCTCGCGGCTCGCCCGGGCCCCGCTGTTAGCCAAGGGGTAGAGTCGGAGGAGCTGCCGGTGCCAGGCCCGGCAAGAGGGCGCTAGCGAGGGTAGGCCGCGAATCCCCGGGCTCGGGTGGAAGCTCGACCCGTCGCTCGACCTCCCCGCGACGGCGGCGGCTCGGACCGGAAGGGCCTAGCGCGGGTCGCCTTGCCCCCGGGCCGTGGAGGGGCCCGCGCTGCACTCCTGAGTTTGATTTTTCTTCCTGGGAACTGGATCCTAGCCTCACAGTGCTTCTGGCTTCACATGCTGCACCTTTGGCACTTGGGTTTTGTAATGGCGAGGTTTGTGTGGTCCCGTTGTTGAGGTGACACCGGGTTTGTTTTTCCGCCTGAAAATGAAAGCCGCCTGAGGGGCATACATTTTCTTGCAGATTGTGAGATTTTTACACTTTCGGACACGATTTTCTTGGTAACAGGAACCTCTTACCCTAAACGGATGACTTTCTGTTTCTTGTGAAGACTTGGGTAAAAACCAAGAATCGTTTGAGGATTCTCTAAAGAAGACAATCTTCTGGAAAACCGAAACACAGTTTTGCCCAATAGTAATTTTTCAGTCTAGGACACCTTTACATTTCTCTTGAGGTCCGGATCTACTGCTGTATCTGCTACCTCAGAAAGCCTGGAATCACTTCTTTCCTTGCACCCTCACGAGACCATTGTTTTGAAAAGCCATTCTTAAACTCCGTTTGCTGGTGTTGAAGTCTAGACCATTCAGAAATGAATAGGAATATACTATTCATTTCAAACTTAACGATTGATAAGGGTTTCAAATGAAACTGTCAAACTTTTATGACCAGGATGATTCCAAGAGCTTTGCTGTTTTGACACAGTTTACCTTATGTTTGCTGTGGCTCGTTTTTGAGTCCCTTGCCAAATCTTTTCACCTTGGGCCAGAAATGTCTGGATCTTATTTGATAGTTCTTAGTTTGGATCGCAACATAAACTGATTCTGTTGAGGTGTTGGTCATTTCTGCACAAAAAGAGAAATCATTATTTTGCTTTTCTAAAATAAAAACCGACTCTTACTTGCAATAGTAATTTAACATGGCATTTTCCTTTCATGGGTTCTTGGCCATTGGTTAACCTTACCTTAATTAGATTGGTATTTTTCTTTTGCTATTGGCAGGATCAGTTAGGTAACATTGTTTTGATTTACTGCACAATCAGGCCAATTACAAAGCTCATGTTACAGGTTTTTAGTTTGAAAAACTTCAAAAAAAATAAATTTAGTGTCACGATTCAATAAATGCTTATTGAGCGCTTGCCCTGTACAAAGTAACATGCTAACCCCAGAACAGGCCAAGTGCCTGCTTTCACTTCCTTTTACCAGGTTGTTTGGTGAAGTCCAGAAGCTTTAAGGATCACATCCTTACACTTCTTGGGGCAAAACAATTTTGCATAATATGTGGGAAAATAGACTTAGTGCACCTTTGGTAGACATAAGTGGTGAAGGAATCAAGAATGTTTCGTGGTTTTACATAATGTTTTGGAGTTTTTATTTTTATTGCTTTGATGTAGAAATTCACTGCTTTGGATTTCTAACAGTGGTTATTTATATATTTTTAAATTCTTGTGTATTTTTTCCTTCTTTTTTTAGAGACAGGGTCCCGCTCTGTCACCTAGGCTGGAGTGCAGTTGTGTCATCATAGCTCATTGCATCCTTGAACCTCTGGGCTTAAGCAGTCTTCCTGCCTCAGCCTCCTGGCTTGGGACTACAGGCATGTGTCACCACACCTGGCTAATTAAAAAAAAAAAGATTATGTTGCTCAGACTGGGCCTCCTGCCTTGGCCTCCCAAAGTGCTGGGATTGCATTCATGAGCCATCGTGCCAAGCCTCTTCTTGTGTATTAACCTGTATGGAGTAGATAAAAAATTGTACCTTTTTTTTCATAATACTATAAAGACTGGAGGGGTATTAATGGTAGCTATACTGAGCAATACCACCTGTTTTGCAGCTGAAGAAAATGAAGCCTAGAGAAGTGAAGTGACAGCAAACTCTTGAGATAGTAAGCTACTTAGTGTTTATAATGCTGGAGAGAGGAGAGAGAAAGGCAATATAGGGTTTAAAAAACATGGAGTTCAGAGTCCGTCCTGGATTTGAACACTGTTTTAACCTTGGACAGGTGACTTCATTTCTCTAAACTTGGGTTTTCTCAACTTTTATATGGGTATCATAATGATAACTTACTAGGGTTTTTTGGTAGGATTCAATGAGATAATGCATCAAGAGAACTTGGTGCGGAATGTGGCATGTGCTTCTAGCTGGGGTCATCAGGGAAAATGTAAAAGGTAGGATTTAAGTTGAGCATGAAAAGATTAGGTGGGCAACAGGGTCAGGGGAGGAATGACCAATTACCCTTGTTAGACTTTTTATGGTTTGAAATGGTGCTTAGATATATGAAGAAATTGAGGCAAAAATATAAATTCAGTTTGACTGTAGTAACACTTAGCATCTGATGTTCTGGGTTTGTCTTGTACTCATGCCTTTAATTAGACACAGCTGCAAGATGGCTTTTTTTTCCAGCAGCATATAGGACATTGTGTTTCAGGTGAAAATGGCTGTAATCACTAGAGTATCTGTGCAGTTGGTGTCCATTATGGGGCAGCCCCAGGGACAGGTGTTGAGGACACAGCAAAATAGATCCAGTTAGAGTCTTCAAGGAACTCTTCTAATGAGGGAGATAAGCAAATACTTTACAGCAGTAGAGGTACAGTTCTTTGACATATGCGTGTCCATTGTATGCCAAATGTAGGCACACTATGGGTATTTGGTGTACCCAAAATTTTGCCCTTGTGGAGTTTACATTCTAATGAGGGGTGATAATAAATGATATAGAATGTTCTGGCCCAGTGGGGTGGCTCGCACCTGTAATCCCAGCACTTTGGGAGGCCGAGGTGGGTGGATCACCTGAGGTCAGTAGTTGGAGACCAGCCTGGCCAACGTGGTAAAACCCCATCTCTACTTAAAAAAAAAAACAAAAAACGAAAAAGCTAGGTGTGGTGGCGGGCACCTGTAATCCCAGCCTCTTGGGAGGCTGAGGCAGGAGAATTGCTTGAACCTGGGAGACGGAGGTTACGGTGAGCTGAGATGGTGCCACTGCACTCCAGCCTAGGCGACAGAGGGAGATTCCGTCTAAAAAAATAATAAAAAAATGTAGAATGTTGAAAGGTAAGTGCTTTAGAAAGTGGGGTAGAGTAAGGGGAATTCAGAATTGAGGAAGAGGTTACAATTTAAAGTGAGATATACTGGGAGAATATCCTTGAGAGAGTGATATTTAGGCAAAGATTTAAAGGAGAAGTAGCCATGTTAATATCTGAAAAGCATTTCAAGCAGAGGGAATAGTTTCAAGGTGTTGAGGCAAACCTGTGAATTCTGCCCATTATAGCTAGAATGGAATGAGCATGAAAGTGAAACCCCGTTTCTACTAAAAATACAAAAAAAATCAGCTGGGCATGGTGGCGCATGCCTGTAATCCCAGTTGCTCAGGAGGCTGAGGCAGGAGAGTTGCCTGAACCCAGGACACGGAGGTTGCGGTAAGCCGAGATTGCGCCATTGCACTCCAGCCTGGGTAACAAGAGTGAAACTCCGTCTCAAAAAAAAAAAAAAAAAGAAAGTGCAATAGTAAATTGGGTTAGGGTGAGATGGGGCTTAAGCTTTTATACAGTCTTGGAGAGCCATTCTAAGGACTTTGCCAGGAGTTTTGAACATAAGAGTGATATAGTCTGCTTTCAGTTTCAAATGATCACTCAAATTGCAAATTCGAAGCCTGGAGACTTGTAAGGAAGCTAGTAATCCAGAAAAGAGATGCCGGTACCAAGATGGTATAAGAGTAGTGAGAAATGGATGGATACTGGATATACTTTGAAGATAGAACCAACATGATTTATTGGCATGACTTGTGAGAGAGGAACCAAGGATGATTCCAGGGTTTCTGGTCTGAGCAGTTAGAAAGTTGCCATCGACAAAGACAGTGATGACTGAAAGGAGCAAGTCTGGGGACTAGATTAGGAGGAGTTCGATTTTAGGCACGGTAAGTTTGAGATTGACTGTTAGACATTTGAGTTGAGTTGATAATCCAAGTCTGAAGTTCAGGGGAAAAGTCTAGAATGGAGATAAATTTTGTTGTCATCAGTTTAGGTAGTATTCAAGCCATGAAGCTGGATGAGATTACCAGGGAATCCTTGATAGAAAGAAAGAAGGGCCAAGGATTGGTATATATATATATATATATATATATATATATATATATATGTGTGTGTATATATATATATATATTTAAAGATGGAATCTCACTATGTTGCCCAGGCTGGTCTTCAGCTCCTGGGCTTAAGCAGTTCTCCTACCTCAGCCTCCTGAGTACCTGGGACCATAGATGTGTACCATCACCTTTGGCTTGATTGTTTTTTTAAATGCCTGTGTTAAAAGGATTGTTTTTAGTGTGCAGTTTGAGGTTTTAACATGGATGGCATCTATGAACTTGGGAAAATTACCTCTTCAGTAACCTCTGACTAGAAGTTAGCAATTTCTTTCAATTGCTAATGTAAACAACAAACTACAATAGTATTAACTGTGATTTGTGTATAAATCAGTTATTTTTGTAATAAAATATGCAGTTGACTCT